GGTTCAATCTCTGGTACAAGAAAAACAAAAACAATTCAGAACTGGAGGAAATGAAACTAGAAGATTCAAAGGACTCACTGTACCCTCTATAAAGAATGAGGGGACAGGGAAAGGGTAATAGCAAAGCATGTCTTGAAATTTTAGAATCCTGTGGATAAAGATTTCTAAAAGTTTACTTTATGAAGGTACATTTGAAAGAAATAAGTCTCAGAACAGCATCAAGTTTCTTAAGTCAGATTTAGAAGCCAAGCTAAGAAACAATATGCAGTCCAGCAAATAGGCAATCCCACAGAGAAAAATAGAAAAGGAAAATCTCAGGGGGATGGGATGGCGAACGGAAGCTGTAGGATGACCACCGCATAGCAAACCTGGGAAGCACCTACTCCAGAAATAGGATGGAACAGAAGCAGGCAGAAGGGCTCCAGGAGTTCATCTCAAAAATAATTAAGTACAAGGTGAATTAACTGACAGGCTTGGCTTTATGGAGACAAATTTTCTGCCCTTGGTAAAGATTTAGAAGGAATTACTGATAAAATAACTTGTCTCGTGGTCTTGAATCACTCAAATCCAGCCTTTTTTTGGCACTGGGAATTGAACCCAGGGGTTCTCTACCCCTGAGCTCCATCCACAGACCTTTTAAATTTGTTTTTCTTTGGAGACAGGGTCTTGCTAAATCCGGGAGACTGGTCTCGAATTTGCAATTCTCTTCCTCTGCCTCCTGAGTTACTAGGATTACAGGCATGTGCCAACACAGTTGGCTCCAGCAGTTTTTAGTTTCTGGGAATAGCATGGAGCAAAATGGAAAGCGATCAGACTCTGTCCTTTTCTTTAAAAAATTTTTAGCATAGAAGTCTTTATAGTACTTTTAAACACAAAAAGAAGAAAAGAACAAATTAATAAATTTCTTCAGAGAACTCCCCACTTCTTTGGGTTCAGTTTCCTAATGGTGATGTAAGTTTCAGACAACTAAAAAGATTCCTTCCTTTTTTCTTCTTTGGAAATTTTTATAGTAAGTTATTAAATTGAGACTAAGTGATTTCTAGCATACAAACAAGAATCTTTTACAATGAGTAACATATCTATTGGTAATCACACACATCTACAAATTTTTTTTTTTTTTTTTTGGACTGGTGATGAAACCCAGGATGCTTTACCACTGAGTTACATCCCCAGTCTTTTTAAAAAATTTTTAATTTTGGGACAGGGTTTCACTAAGTTGCTTAGGGCCTTGCTAAATTGCTGAGGCTGACCTCAAATTTGCAATCCTCCTTTTTCAGCTTTCTTGGTCGTGGGATTACTTTATAGGTATGTGCCACATGCCCAGTACACAGATACTGTTGAATAATATTTAAAACTTTAAAAGATTGGCAGGAGAAGCTCTGGGCATGGTGGCACATACCTTTAATCCCAGTGACTGGAGAGGCTGAGGCAGAAGTATCACAAGTTCAGGGCCAGACTCAACAATTTAGGGAGACCCTATTTCAGAATTTAAAAAGTAAAAAGGTCTGGGGATATGGGGATATAGCTCAGTTTAGGTAATGTGCCCCTGGATCCAATCCCCAGTACCATTAAAAAAAAAAAGGATTGGAGAAGGAAAGTTTTGAAAAAAAAAATAAGAGAGAGAAGATAAAAGCAAAAAAGGAAAATAAAGGAAAAAGTCTGAAAACTGGCAAAACACTTTCTCTCTAAAGTTAGGTTAAAGGTATTTGAGGATTTTCCCCTAATCATACACCCACATTGCCATAACCTGCACAATTGTGATAGCTGATATTTACGGAAATTCTCTGGATGTTTCTGATTTGGGTCAAGCCAAGTCCTTTACTGGGGTTTAAAAGTTTAATCTCTCTAATCTTTACATTTTGTGGTGTCTTTTGTCTTCTTCTTTCTTCTTCTTTCTTCCTTCTTCCTTCTTCTTCCTTCTTCCTTCTTCTTCCTTCTTCCTTCTTCCTTCTTCTTCCTTCTTCCTTCTTCTTTCTTCTT